AATTAAAGACATAAACATAAGCTTTTAAAAGCAGTAGCCCTCTGGGGTGCCAGGGTGGCTCAGTCGGTTAGGCATGTGACTCCTGATTTCCATTCAGGTCATGATGTCACAGTTCATGGATTTGAGTGCTGCATCAAGCTCTGCACTGACAGTGTGGAGCCTGCTTGGGACCCTCTCTCTTCCTCACTCTTTGCCCCTCCCCCACTCACGCACACACTCTTTCTCTCTCAAAAATAAATAAACTTAAAAAAAAAAAGTGGTAGCCCTCTGGGAAGAACCGGTGTGGAGAACGAAGCAAAGAATGTTGCTTTTTATGTTAAATTTTTCAATGCTAGTTGATTAATTTCTAATCTATCAGCAAGCATTACAAAGATTTGTTTTTCCAAATTTTCTATGGTGAATGTATATTTCATAGCGTAAAATATTTTATTTAAATGTTTTTTATACAACACATACAAAATAGGGAAATAAAGGAAATCCATGCCTAGACACATCGTAGTAAAACTGCAGAACATCAAAGACAAAGAAGATCTTGAAAGCAGCCAGAGAAAGGACAGATCACCTACAAAGGAACGACAGACAATTAGAATGACACAGGTCCACTCAACAATAATGGAAGCCAGAAAACAATGGAATAATATATACAAGATGTTGAGAACAAATAACTGTTGTTACCCTAGATTTGGGTATCCAGCAAAATTACTGCACAACAAGGGGGGAAAAAAACAGATAAACATTCTTGGCAAATTTAGACAAACAGACCAATTCTTAAAGAAACTTCCAAAGAATACACTTCAAAAATACTTGGAACATATTAGAAGAGGATGACCCCCAAATAACATTCAAGATTTTAGAACAAAAAATGATAAACATGTAGGTCAAATCTGAACAAACAATGCCTGGGTAAAATAGTGATAATGGTGCCCAACTTACACATTTTAAAAAAGACCAAAACAAAACAATGGAAACATTATGTAAGTAAAGACTGAAGCATAAGTATTCTAAAGTCCATTTACTTTGGAAATGGGGTCAGAACATTAACTTTTGAAATATGTGATTAAATTTGCATGGTAAAATTCCAGTGCAAACCACTAAATGAACAGGAATGGAGTGTTCTCATTTAAGCTAGTTAAAAAAAAAAAAAAAAAAAGTAGAGCTGGGGCAATCAACAATAGTAACTAATGAATCTTTAAGGCAAAAGAGAAAAAAATGAAAGGCCATTATGAATCAAAAAAGATGACAGAAACCAGCCCAACTACATATTAGAAATGTGAATGTTTTAAACTTTCCAGTAACAGGCAAACTCAGACTGGGTTAAAAAACAATCTAGCTTTATAATATTTAAGATATATATTTGCCTAAAACTTTAAAAGAGAAGACTGAAAACAAAATCAGGGAAAACAAATGCTAATAGAAGTACAGGAAAATTAAGATAAATATATCAATCCTAGTGGGCAATCTCAAGACTTTCTATCAATGACTGATAAATCAAGCAAACCAAAAACTCAGTAAGATCAAGATTTGAACAATGTAACCATAGAGCTTTATCTACTAAATGCAAAATTCTCAATCCAACAATTATAGTCCACTCTCTTCTAAAATGCACATGGAAGACGTATAAAATTGATGCCTTCAGTCTTAACAATTTTCAAAAAATATATATGACACAGATCACAGTGACACAATGCAATTAAGTCAACAGTACATATAAAAAAAATAAAAGACAAAAACAAATCCTCCATATACTATAAATCAAAAACATTTCCATATAACTCATAGGTCAAAGATGAAGATCATAATACTAAGATGGATAATGAAAACATTATAAATTTGTGAATATGCAACAAAAGTGACACTCAAGAGAAATTTACACCTTAAATGTTTACATCTGAAAGACAAGCTAGAATAACTAAAAATATAGATGGATATATATTAAAAGAGTAGAAACCAATGAAATAGAAAATCAAGTCATCAAAGGAGAATCAATAAAGCCAGAATTATTGTTTTTAAGTCTTTGAACAAATTAACAAAATAAACTTCTGGTGACAGACTAATCCAAGACAAAAAGAGAAATAGCACGAATATTGTGAGGTGGTAGGCTAGTAAAAATAGAGGCCAGAGAGATGAAAGAACACTATCAACAACTCATGCCAATACATGTGAGCATATTTAGATTTTAAAAAAACATGTCAGAAAGCTGTAAAACAGTAAGCACCGTAATTAATGGCTGTTTGCAGAATGTCACTTTTGTGATTGTGAATAAATCAATTCAGTAAGAGCAACGGTAATCTTAAGATGTGTTTGATACCTTTTAAAATTTTTAACCTTTTACTTTAAAACAAAACAATGATACAGAAAACAACACAACACAAACAGTAGTTTAAGGAATTTTAGAAGGCAAAACACCCTTACAACCACCATCCGGTCAAGAAAATAGAACTATGCCAGCTACCCCAGAAACCTTTCCATGTGCTCCATCCCAATCAGCCCTCTCCAAAAGTAACCGTTTATGCCATTTATACTAATACCTAAATTTTCTTTGTGGCTTTATCACACAAGTGTGCATCTCTAGATGCTACCGCTTAACCTTGCCCCTCGTTATTTTGTCTTTTAGGTCTTTTAATCTAGAATTCTCAGGCTGTTTGACCTATATGGTGTCCCAGAGGCTGCTCTTTGCCTGTTGCACACTCATGATGTAACAACCAACATATTCCTCTGGCCTCTGTACCTCTGCAAGTTGACTGCTGGATCAAATCCTCTGGCAAGACTAAGGTAGTTTTATTCTTTCATCTGGAGGCATGAAATGGCTTTCACTTTTTTCGTAGACATTAATCACCAGTGCCTACATTCATTAATCTACTGAGTTGGGGGAAAAAAACCAAGAAACTATAATTCTATCATTCTGTTTTTACTTACTAAAATAATTTTTTAAAATGCTTTCCTAGGAGTGTGTGGTTGGTTCAGTCAATAGAACATGTGACTCTTGATCTCAGGGTCATGAGTTCAAGCTCCACATTGAGCACAGAGTTTACTATAAAAAAAAATGCTCTTCCCATCTACTATGTAAAGAATTGCAAACATTTTCTATTTTAGGTTGGGGAAGCTTTATGGTCTCCTGCAACTATTCAACTCTGTGGATATAGTACAAAAGCAGCCAATACGTACATGAATGGGCATGGCTTGGTTCCAATAAAACTTTACATACAAAAACAGATGCTAACTCCTATACTATTCAGTTACCCAGGGCTACCACTCTTTAAAGACAACATAAATGCTCAATTATGTATCCAGTTTTCAAGACAATGGATTAGCATCTATTATCCTCCAGAAGCTAATTAAGGATTTACTTCAAAACATAGGAAATCATGGATTTAAAACTGTTTGATGTGCTTTGATAACTGCAATGCTTACCCTTACTGAAGATCAAGTGTCAGTTTCAGTTGCTCTTCACAAATTGGCCCACTTACACTTTCCAGTTAGTACCTACAGGCTGTTTTGGAATTTTTCTGTTCTCAGGTCCATCGTTTACTGGAACTGCAAATAATGCCGACATGGCAAACTGCACAATCCAAAGATTTTTTTTAATGTTTATTTTTGAAAGAGAGAGACAGAGCAGGAGCAGGAGAGAGGCAGAGAGAGACACACAGAATTCAAAGCAGGCTCCAGGCTCTGAGCTGTCAGCAGAGCCCGACGCGGTGCTCGAACTCATGAACCGTGAGATCATGACCTGAGCCGAAGTTGGATGCTCAACCGACTGAGCCACCCAGGTGCCCCACAAGAGTTTTTTTTTTTTTTAAGAGAGAATGAAGAAACAAACATAGGATGAAATCACTAAAGCTTCATGAAATGTTTGAACCTAGAACAATTTCAAGAACACAGTTAAGGAAAAATGAAAAAAAATATGCCAACATTAGAAAGGTGTAAGTCAGAAATAATGTGATGAGCATTCAGTTTGGGTGGGTTGTTAAATTCAGATCTCAGTAGAAGAGGAAAAGGAAACTAGAACCTTTCCTGATAGGAACAGAAGGAAAAAAGGTTGGAAAGCAGTAGAGAATGACTGGACAGGCCTAGAGGCCAGATATTGAAGCTGTGTAAACACCAAGTTGATGGCGTCAATCCTGGACAATGCAGGAGATGGAAACATTAGAATACTCTCAGAAAGGAGTCACATGATGTCATATTGTATATTTTTATAATAGAGTTTTATTTTTTAATTTATTTTTATTTATTTTGAGAAAGAGAAAGCGCACGATGTGCGCACATACAAGTAGGGGAGGGACAGAGAGAGAGAGAGAATGAATATCCCAAGCAGGCTCCACATTCAGCACAGAGCTTGATGTGAGACTGTAGCTCACAACCCTGAGATCATGACCTGAGCTAAAATCAACAGCTGGACCCCCAAATGACTGAGCCATGCAGGCACCCCCAGAGGCACACTTTAAACAGGAAAGTGTTTGTACTTGAGATTGGGGTGGTGGGATTGAGAAAAAGGAAGCAGAAAGGTCAGCTCAAGGCTAACCACAGTATGCCAGGCACAAGAGGATAATAAAGTAGGGCCACTGGGACAATAGGGCAGATCTGGCAGGTAAGAGACAGAATGCTAAGAAAGAGGAAATTTAAAGATAGGATTTCAAGTTTAAGAGAACAGGGGTAGGATTAACAAAAAGAAAAGAAGAGAAAATGTAGGCATCTATGTATCTCTAAATACAAGTTTTCTTAAAACCAGCAAAACACTGGTAATTATTAAGGTGAGGTAACTGGATTCATGGGAATTCACTGCACTATTCTTTCCACTTTTAATAACATTAAAAATTTCATAATAAAAAGACTTAAAATTCTGAAAAGTATAGGTACAGACTTTTCTCATGGTCCCTTCTCATTCTATTTTTGGGCCTAATGAGCACTTTTGTCATAGAACATTTCATAAATATTGAGTGGCAAATATTTAATGTCTCATGAAAAAAGTATAATAAAGGATGACGTATCATTTAAATTATTACCTTGGCTTTTTTCTATATTATCTCCTTTTGTTTCCTCTTCTTTAATGGGAGGACTTATCCTGGGGGTCCTGCTTTGCCCCTGGACCATTTCTGCCAGCAATTCTTCTTGAGAAGTTCGAGTTCTGGGAGCAACTGGAAGTGTCTGTTTCTGTGAGACTTTTATACAAAAAGGAAAAAAGATGAGAAATGCAGATGCAGTAATACATCAAAACTGAACAGTGAACATGTCCTATTAAATATAAATGCTTCCTCGGGTTTAGGACATATGAAAAGTTTGAAACCGTTCACAGATACCAGCTTTTTTCTTACAATATTCCAGAGAGACCAATAACGGATCTCATCTCTACATTTTAAACCATGTGCCATAAATACACTGCCACGCAAACGTATTCATTTTTAACCAAAAGTAGTTTATAATTTTTTTAATATTTATTTTTGAGAGAGAGAGAGAGAGAAATAGAGTGTGAGCAGGCGAGGGGCAGAGAGGGAGACGCAATTCAAAGCAGGCTCCAGGCTCTCAGCTGCCAGCACAGAGCCCGAAGCAGGACTCAAACTCACGAACTGTGAGATCATGACCTGAGCCAAAGTTGTGGACGTTTAACCGACTGAGCCACCCAGGCACCCCCTAACCAAACAGTTTAGATTCTGCTTCATGATCACATAACAATTTCAAATTGTAACCTACATAACAGAGGCCAAGAACAAACTCCAATGCTATTTCTCAAAAAACTAGGGAAATCTCTCATTATAAAAACAGGAAATTTCACAATGGAGTACTACGTGGCAATGAGAATGAATGAAATATGGC